AGAAATATTGAACACAAGTCTAAAGAGGTTATAATTTCATAGTATACATCACTGGTTAGGTCACATTTGAATTATTGTGCTCAGTCTCGGGCTCCTCACCTTAAGAGAGACATTGAATTGTTGGAAAGGGTTCAGAAAATGGTTACTAGAATAATGTCTGGGATGGAGAGGTTGTCATACAAAAACAGTTTGAAATCTCTCAAATTGTTTTCTTTTGAAAAAAAAAAGAGAGATAGGGGGATCTCTTTGGGGTGTTTAAGATTGCAAAGGGAATTTATAGTATTGATACATCATTTTTTTTCATATTTAACAGTGAGAATTGTAGGACTAGGGGACACAAGTATAAATTTCGGCAGGGTAGGAGTCATATTCAGCTAAGACAGTTATATTTTTCTAACAAGGTGGTAGGCCTTTGGATTGTGGAAGCAGTAAATTTAAGTGAGTTTAAGTGAAAGCTTGATAAGTATATGAATGATAAGGGCTGGCTTTCAGATTTTTTTTTTAAATTTAGTTTTGAAGATGGAACAGCCAAGATGGACCAATAGGTCCCACGTTGTTCCAAACCATTATGTTGTTATTACATGTTTAAAATGTACATAACAAGCTTTTTGTTTTGTTCAAAGTATCTGAAATGGTCCGACTTTGAGATTAACTTTTCAAAAATATTCCACACTACACCCACTCCTGTTCAGGTGATGCATGTCATCACCATGTCAGCTTGGCCTTGCTTTCCCTCAGTGGATCTCCTTAAAAAATGTCTTTTACAGGTTGGCAGCTAGAAAAGGGCCCCAAGCTGTTTAAAACCTTCAACTTCAACCCAAATAATATATTTTGTTTGATAAAATATTGATGTAAATGTTCATTCCATATAAGCTTACAGAACTGAAAATGGGATATATTTCATTAAGCCTAAATGTGTGACAATCACTGTGATTGTCTTCCAGTCTTATTGTGGAGTATGTTACTTTACTCACCTGTTATAGTGATAGTTGCATTATAGGTAACATTCAAACAGTGATATACATGTAGATTGTAGTGGTAACAATGCAAGAATTCTGCAATGGCACATCATGTGATGTGTTGATAACATATGTTAATTGGTTTCAGCACTCATACTGATATTAACATCTGGAGTTGTATCTAAGAGATCACATTTGGTCCAATGGTATTTCAGACTAGTTAGTTAGCTCGTAACACAACCAGAATGATTTGTTTGAATAAACCATTATTAGAATTTTCTTGCAAAAAAGTTGCACAGTTACAATGGCATTTGGAATACAGACAGTGTTCTAAAATCACCAAGATTTTGAATGGAAATTCCAAAATTGATGCCTTGGAGGTCTTGTACTCCCTGTTCTTGAAAATTAAAGAAAGGGCTGAATAAATGAAGTTTTTAAATAAGTTTTCCTTCCTTTTATGAAATTCAATACAGATGTGTAGAAAAGTAATTTCATTATGAATTAGAGCTTATTAAATGTATAGTTTCATCATACAACAATGCTGGGTTTGTAAAAATAGCACAGAACTATGCAGAGAGTGGTTATCAGAAAACCTCACACTTTCCAAATAAACCATTGTCATACAGAGGGTGGGTGAGACTTAATTACCAGGCATTTATCCTGTCCACCATTACTTTTTGAGACCCTTACAGATCTTTTGCACCACTACTATTTACTCTGCACTTGCTTCTGCTCCCAGTGTTGAAGTATGTGCTCAAGATACTTCATTCCTTTTTGAATCTGGTTTATTTATATTGCCTTGTAGCTACATTTGCTGTATGTATGGCCTTTCATCTGGTAATCAGTACAGCTTTTTCCATTTTCTTCCATAGTTTCCAAGAGCAGGCAAAAAAGTGCACAGTATCAATTTCATACTAAACAAGTACAAAGTTTTCTGCTTCTCTATGTTATTAGTATGTTAATAAATACAAATATTGTATGTTTAGGGCAGGCTGTTTTTGAATAGGAACGTGGGATTCACAAATTAGACCAATTATGGACAAGTATCAGAATATTCTGCAACAAATGCAAATTTAGCCCAGAAAATGTATGAAGACTGTATGAAAAAGGAACAGGACTAAGTGTTCTTTTAGGAGTAAAAATAACAAAGCTGGATAAGTTTGAACAAACAAATAGAATCTTTACTTAAACAATAAAATGAAGATTTAGCACACATACTAAAAATGGATAAATAGTTGGTGCTCAGTCTAGTAAATGTCTTTTTCTTGAGATCAAATTTTCTAACACTAAACATGCAAATCTTTCAGAAGAAAAGAAAGTACTTTCTGTTAGTCAACTAATGGAGAGCTGAACCAAGAAAGCATGCTCGGATCTATGATGTAAACTCACTTTCTTTGTCCAGTAGACCTATATTCCCTGACAGCATTGATAATCAGTGAATAAAGTATATTTCAATTATAATACAAGCTGGATTCCATATACAATACTGAAACATCCCTGTGGGCAAGAGGGTACATCACCTACTAGATAAATAAATGGCAAAGCAACTAGAACAAAACAATGTTAGTAATTCTCTGAACCACATGTTGCCACCATGACAGTGCAGAAACTTAATAAGCAAAATTTAAACAAAAAATCTCTAGAGAAGGTAGAAAATGCATGGTATGCCCATATATATCATAGAAAATGGTAAAAAAATTTCATCTTCATTAAGTATATTTATTTCATTGTAAATAATTTATTTTTGGAAGTTATCACACATTGAATTAATTTTGTAATTAAACCAAATTTGGCTTTTTAAGAAACATGATGTAATGGTTTTATTTATCAAATCATGGCTTATAGTTGTAGATTAAGGGTCGTTGTTGGTTGGTTGGCTGGTTAAGCACAGAGCTACACAATGGGTTATCTGTGCTGTGCCCACAATGAGTATCAAAATCTGGTTTTTAGTGTTACATTGTCTCCATACTTACCACTGAGTCTCTGGGTACTAAATTGAGGTACATTCACCTGGAATGAATGAAGTATGAAAGCTTCACAAAATAAAAAAAGATGGTTTTATATTTGAGGATAGTTCCTCAGTACGACCCAATTATCATACATACATAAATTCTTAATGTACATAAAAATATGCTGAAAAGATAAACTTAGTTGGTTACTAAACATTGTTTACAAAATGTTAATGTAAGATAAGGCCACTTGAATGTGATTTTTTGGGACTGACTGACCCATTTATTTTAAAATGCACTTGGAAATGTTAATTAAATATAAAACACATGATCCAGCCATGTGATCTCACGAAATGTCAGCAATGTTTTGTTGGCTGCGTGTGACTAAAAAACGTGGGGAAGAACTGGTTGTTTCACAAAAAGTTGTAAAAGCTTAATTTGTGTGGACATTTGGTGAATTACTTACAAAGATAGACTTTACTTTTTTAGATTGTTAAAGATCTTGTGTTAAAGTATAACTACCTTTTCGAATTATGATGTACCATTGTTCCTATGGAAAAATACCACATGATGCTGATCAAGTTAAAGCTTCTCAACTTGTTTCTAGGCTTAATGACAGTCAAAGGCTATATGCTTCCAGAGAAGTGCAAAGGGAGTTTCTTGACATTTATTATACCTTGGCAAAAATAAGTAAAGGTGTTCTCAGAAATACATATAAAACTTTGATGGGTGATTGTTCTGCAGCAGTTTCAGCTGCAGAAAAAGAAATTGCTGATTGTGTTGCAGAAGCATTATTCCAAATGGATGATCCTGAACTTATCTATGATTTGCAAAACTGAATGGTAAACTGAGTTCTAGCACATTTGATCTTTTTTTGGGATGAATTTGGTGCTTACACTGAAGAGTTGACTCCAGCAGTAGATGACAAACAACATTTAGAAACTCCTCATTTGCCAGCTGCTATTTTATTGCATCACTTACTGCAGATAGTAAGGTAGAGGATTGAACAGAAGTATCCTGGTGATGAGAATAAGTTTGAAGTTCGATCACTAGAATGGTTACACCTTCAATTTTGAACACATAATCCTTATTCAGCATCTGCATTAAGACATACAGGTCAAGTAGTGGGATTAACCAACACATAATAATGCCTCATGGCTGAAAGGGGTGAGCATGTTTGGCAGGACGGAGATTCGAACCCGTGACCATCAAATTGCGAGTCGAGCACACTTCTCTGTGGAAGATTTCAATCTGATATTTTTAAAACAAACTTTTAAAATGAGACAGTGTCATGCAGATGGGGCAATACCTGGAAATAATGTGTTATTTACAGTGTTGTATCCGTCAATAACCATTAGATTAGAGAATTTAAGCCTGCTAACAACAGGAAGTTAAGTTCTTGGGTGTATGCCTTCTAATGAATTGTGGCAGTTAAATCACAGAGAAATAGACAATACACAGATTCACACAAATATCAGTTTAATGCTTCACATAATACAATAAATAATACACTGCTAACATAATACAATACACTAAAACATAGTACAGTGGGCAACTGATTGGCCAAGGAAAGCTGAAGATTCACTAAAACTGCCAATTAAACAAAAGTAACTTGTAGGAGAAAACATAGCAAAAATTTTCAATTTCTGCTGAATAATTATGGGCTCAAAAAAAAAGAACTACAAACACAACAACAGCTGGAAATCTATACAAACTGTAGTAATTTTTGTAAAATCTTGTGAACATCTCACATACTCAGTGAAATTCTTCTTTTAAAATATGAAAATTCTCAAACTGTCCTAAATATAATTTTGGAAAATTTGTTTTTTTAAATATAAGAGTGGAAATGATGTAGTACATCCTCGTACTACAACAGAAAGTTTGGAAAATTTGGTTTAACCTTGCAGATAATATTAACATATTAAAAGTATATGATTCTATAAAGAATTAAAAAAGAGATTAAATGTTTAACAAAGCCTATACATCACTGTAAAACAAAAAATCAATCTGTTGTATATTATTTAATTTGAAAATTATTCTTATATTTATTTTAATTCTGTGTTAAAAAGACATAATTTACATATATAATGCATGGTGAATGAAAATAAATGATAATCCTATAAAGAACTATAAAGTTATATTTATAACTATAAATGTTATTAAGAAGTGGAACTGGTGGAATTTATATATATCAACCACAATTACAGTTTCCCTAGTGTACTTTAATTGAAAGACTACTTCAAGTATTTGTGTGCCAATGTGTTTTCAAAACAAGAACTTCAGTTTAATACCTATAGGACTTATTGGAAGTAGAAATACTATACAATTTCATAAAATGTACGAAAAACATTCTCTATTCCGATAATGGAATACTACAGTGCAGTGTAATAACATTTTAGAGAATGTTGAAAAAATTTCCTATTTACCTACCAAAATTTATCCTGGCAATGTCACCAAAAACCCAGAATTAATTTTTTGATTTAATATACAATGACAAATATGCATGCTACCAATGTCTGTTTTAGGTAGGAGCAACCAGGGCAATTGCCTTAGACCCCATAAGGCTAACCAATGTCACATCCACAGATTATAGAAAACAATTTCACTGTGAAACTTTGTAACAGTACTGTTTCTTGCATCCAACAATGGCACAATCATTCCTGTTCAATTAATTATGCCTACACTATTAAGTGGCAATCAATTGGTTTTGCCATGGAGGGAAAAAGTATTATAGTGAAATTGGAATGGCATAACTCAATTTGACAAATATGTACTGCGTTTCTAGTTTAGTTTAAGTTCTGTTAAAAAAAGTGAAGTGTACCTCCCTAGCATATTGTTTATTAATGAAAAAAGAAAAAATGCAGCATAAATGCAGGGATAACAAACCTTCTTATTTCAGTGGTGCTAAAAAATTCTAGGGTTCACAAGAAAAGTCAAACACTTGAGGGTATGTTCCAAATGAACCACATTCTTTGTATCAAAAGAGGAAGAAAATGTTAAATGCTTAACCTCTTATGATCAAAGTGCATTGAGGTACTGACATGGATTTCGAAGACTGTTGTTCTTGGAGAAATGCCAGCTGAAACAAGATAGAATTAGAATATGATGGATTGCAAAGTGGACTTACAGAGGTAGGTCTAATTCAGATATTCTCTCACGAATCAATACTATGGCCAGCAGGGCCCTGGAAGGTAAAAGGGTAAATTTTACTAGGGCCCAGACAGTCAAGGGGCACAGCAGAGCCTACTTTTAAAAAAAAAGTTTTAAACCTTCAATTTTTAGTAATCTCTTGAATTCAATTAACCTAAATTTGTTTAAACATGCCTAGACAATAGGTATAGATCATATTGCAACCAAATTTCCAACTGGATTCTAACATCTACAACAATGACAAAGAGTATAGAATCTAGGAGGAGCACAATTTCACTGATATGAGCATTACTTGTCTACCACTACTGCTAACTGCTGATAATTGAGAATGACTGCATAAATGAATGGTGTAAGTTTACCATTTATTGAAGCAAACAATATGATAAAACAGTTTTCCCTTTCATGTTATGTAAAATTTATGACCTTGTGCACTACCTGCCTACCAATGTTGCTAACCATTGATGTTTGAGAATGTCTGCATACAAATAAAAATCAGGTCAAAAACATAAGAAGCAGATGGAAAGAAAAAAAAAGAAGTTAGAGGGCATCACTCAATCACTGTTTTTAAGCCAGTTAAAGCCAATGAAGAGATTATCTCCTCAAGCTAAACAGCATCAACTTCAAAACATATAGATGAGGGTCAAGTTGATTTCATTATACAAGTTGTGGAAAAGTAGCATGTTGAATGTGCTTCCATTTCTAATCTCATGATTTGAAAGAATAGTGAAGTATGATCACAATCAGAAACAGATTATCTACATGAAGAAAAGTGTAAAGAGAAATCACAGAAGTGGGTTACAGAGGCACAGGATGTAAAACATCCTGTACTGTGGGCTGAACACATTGCAGTGCATCAAAAAATTGTTTTATTCAAAGTACCAGCATGAAGAAATGATACATATGTAAAGTCAGTTCCAAAAGAAGGGGATGGTCATAGTTTTCTTGAATTTCTTCTGTACTTGAAGTTGTCAAACAATAGAGAAAACATCCTCACAGTTGGCTTGTTTAAAGTGCCACTAACAATGTACTGCACTTTTTCGTGTTTGTTTTTACTGCATAGGAAAATCACAGACAATGTAGCATGTTGGAAAAAGTGAAGGCTATTCACCATCTGAAAAAACTGAACAAGCTGTAAATAAACTTTCTGTGCATAACAAAAAAGCTGCTGCTACCAATGAAAGAAATTAGGACAGTCACTATTAAGACATGAAGTACATAGTGGGATTCAAAAACAGATTTTAAGTGAAGCTAAAAAACCGAAAGTAATTCTGCAGAGACTATTGGATGTTACCTTACATCTTGCATCAAGAGGCTTGCCATTACAAGGTGACAACAATGTGACTGGTGACCCCACATTCATAATTTTTGGGAACTCTTGAGTTGCTAGATCAAGATAACAGGGTCACTCATAACAAAAATTTCTAAAATGCAACAAATGCAAACTGGAGGCAAAACAATGCAAAGGCATCCACATTATTTATCAGGAAGTCAGAACGAGTTCATTGAATTATGTGGTATGAGTATGCTAAAAACCATTTTAGAAGAAAGAGAAAAAGCAATTTACTATTCTATCATAATTGAATTCACTCCAGATGTTTCTCTCCTTAAGCAAAAATATTGATATTGAGGTTTGTGGTTTAGAATGAAGAAACTTGCAAATTTGAGTTAAGGCAACTGACAGACAAATAGCTGGACATTTTGTTGGAAGAATGTTTTTGTTACAGAAAGCATGAAATTTACACCACACTCCCTAGAGAAGAATTAGGAAATAGAAAAGATTTCAGGATTAGATAAATCAATTAACATTGTATTCGGTTTCCATAACAGTGACAATTTTTTGGTTGATTATCTCTAGCAATGCGAATTGAATATAGTGAGCCAGTGTTGGTTTGTATGGGAGGGGCTTGGTTATGAAGGTGTTACTAGAAAAGGTAAGTCTATTAATGTCCAGATGATTCTGGGTGAGTTTGTCATGTTTCATCTTTTAAAAAAACTAATTTTAAATCATGTTTGTTTTTTCTATACTGCAAAACATTACTATGACTGTAAAATGTTGTAAAAAATGTGTTTTATTAAGTTTTCTTATCATGTGTATGGTATAAACAAACTAGTAATGAAAGTAATGAGTAGGGGAAAGGGCCCTAAACAGGCTAACAGCAGACCTGTATGCAATTAGGATAGAGAAAAGTGGAACATGCATTTTGCCAATTCAAACTAATAAATTGTTGGCTCACTTTGCATTAGAATATCCTTGTGTATAAAATAATGAGTAATTTCATACCCAGGATAAACTTATTCTCCTCCATCTCTAACAAGTGGCACATGCTGTCAAGTTTAGTGTTTCTTTATATATTGAAGACACACCTAAAGTATCCAGTGCTGCAATGCCTAAATAGAGTTGTGTACATTCTGTTCACGACCACATGACTGATTGCCTTAATATAGTTGTGTTCATATAAAATTTTATGCTCAATGTGACTCATTATCCTGTAGCTAATAGTGTCTCACATCAATGTTATATCTATTTTTTTCTGGTTTGTCATCAATGTCACAAAATACAACAGCATTTAAACAACATAGTGGAAATAAAATATTTCAAAATATGTTCAAGAACACAAGATCTGACCAACAGTATTGATCAAAAGCTCTAATTACAATAGGGAAATTAAAATTACTACAAATAATAAAGGGTACGATATGATAATCATCACGGCTTTGAATAAATGCCAGAACTCACCAAACTCTTCATCAAGGACCAAACTAACCCCATTTGTTCAAACCAAAAATACATTATATTTACCACATGGACACAATGTCACTACAAAACTGATTAGTTTTTCAAAATATATTTCAAAACCTTTTTATTTACCAACATTACAAATTAGATATTTTCCAATGACTTAAGAGACTCACTGACCATTTTACACAAATGTGATGTTTATAAGACTCAGTGTCCATGTGCTAAAATCTATGTTATCCAGTCTACTAAGGTAAGAATTAAAGAACACTAGAGAAATGTTGAAAAGAAAAAGGCTTATGTGCATCATGCAACTACAGATCATATCTGATGGGATAAAACTGATTTGCTGTTTAACTTAACTGTTTTTGTATTTAATAAATTTTCACAAATCACTAGAAATATTTAAACATTCAGATGATATTCTAAATAAAGACTTGAGCCCTGCAGGTTCCGTTACAAAAGTTTCAAACCCTGTATTCATTAGTAATTAGAATTCCTTACATAACAACATAATATTGATATTGAACTAAAAGCCAAGAATGTGGCTGCTAAAAAATCAACAGCAAAGAAAACAAAGATAGTCCAAGTAAAACAGATTATGAGGATAAAGAGGCATTTTTGTTGCGAGATCTTTTCATACAGTATACCCAAAGAAAAATGGGTTCAGTATTTGTCATGCCATAAATGGTCCCATGAGAAATTCAATGTAAAGAACATGTAATACTGTTATTATTATTGTAAGTTTGAATCTGAATGTAACATAAGATAAGCTTTATCAAGGTATGAATAAATGCCACTTATTGCCCAAAAAAATCCAAATTGTAAATATCTGTACTGATCAGAATTCACAAATAACCCTGTACAATTGTTAACACTGTTCATGTGTATAGTTTTTTCAGCATTTAGTTGTCCATTTTAGGGGACCAAAGTACACATGTCATGATCTTTTAGAGAAAGCCATTCAACATGGTATTAAGTATTTGAAGTTAGAGTTATCAACTATACATTTTACCATACGTAGCTGATTTAGTGAAAGTTCATGGTAGAGGAAAGTAACTACCAGATACAATATAAAAAGATACAGAAAAACTGTAGATATGCATTTTAGAGATTCTAGAGGTTATGCAAATGCAATATGCAAATTGTACAATAGACAAAAGTATTTTCATTTTTCGCATAAACATCACCTTGCACTCCAACTTTTCAGATTATGAGTCAGACTTATGTCAGCAATTGACAGACATATCTTAAATACAAATACTTTTGTAATACATCTGATTTTTTGTGTACAACAGATTTGAACAAACTGTTAAAAGCTTGCCACATTTCATGTTGATATGTATAGTAAATTTGAAAGCACAGTCAACATTCCTCCTCAAATACAGGGTTGGTCCATTGGACTGACCCCATGTACAATCGGTTAAGAATCATCCTTTACCTACATAGTGTTACATTTGACCTGTGTGTCAATTACAATTGGCCACAGGTCACGTCCAAATGTAAGTTGAGATAGATCTTTGTTTTCTCTTTAGTATCTACGCTAAAAGAACTGTGGATAAAGACTCAAGTCCAAGTACAATGAATGGGAACTTTTTCCTGTGCATGCTTTTGGTTTTATTCTGCTGTGCCTCTAATCCAAAAGAAAAAAATCTCTAGTCACAGTTGTTACAATAATACCTGTTTTTCCATAATTATTTTACACATTTTTCAAAAATATCAAAAACATTATTAGCAGTCACACCCTTCTGATCTAGCTACCTACAACATTTATTTTTCTCTCTAAACATTGGTACTGTTGGTCAAATCTCTTGTATTCTTTAAAAGGTTTTGAAAAATAACTTTCCATGGCAACAATAAAAGATGTATTCAATTACCATAATTTTCAAATTATAAACCTCACAATAGGTAATCCCCCATATTCTACAAGTCAACATTACAAACAAAAAAAAACAACAACTGAGTATAAACCACTGATGTAGCACAGCTGTTGTCAAGTTACCAGTACATTTACATGAAAACATTTCACATATGTTCCACATGCTTTTTCATAGCACTTATTTTTTTCTATAAAAACATTATAAAATATAAAGGTAAAAAAAGAAATATTATGACTAATTTGTTTTTTATTTTATTATTTACCAACAAATATTTAGTGATAATGGAAGACAACAATACATGTGCATGCTTCATTCATGTATTCAAAATACTTTGTTTCTATTACGTGCTTCACTTAAATTTCATTTGTAACAGTTCTTCTGAAAAACAAATTCATATATACAATGCACTCATGTATTAACTGCATGCTACGGTTTTGCACACAAAATCTGTGTAGAAACCATTGTTTTATAAATGGAAAATTATGGCAACTGACACCTAATGAAGACCTATATCCAAAACTAGTAGTTCTTTTATATGTTTTTATTGCTGAAGATGTTTCTAGGGTATTCTGTTACCTTTATAAAAACAACTGTCTGAAAATTGCAAGAAAGTAATGTTTATTTTCATCAACAAAGATTCAGTAGTTTTAGTAGTTTTGTGGAAATTTGGAGGGAAAACTCAAGGAATGCAATAATTTAATGGTATTTTCAGCTTTTATAGGTTTCACACTATTTGGTGTATATGATAAATTTTAATGTACAACAGCTTAAAACAAGAAAAAGTAATCCTAAATTATTTTACCTGAAGTCTTAAAAATTCAAAACAAGCAAAAAATATGATGATCCACCACGTGAGAATAACCAAGTTATGATGATTAGTAAATTAGCAAGTTATACTAACCACCCAACTCTTCACATAATGCACAGATCTAAAGATTCTTTCCAGTCTGTCTTTTTATGAAACTTGTAAATTATTTTCTACATACTACACAATAGTATGGTTTCTTTCCAATGTATTATCCCTCATGCAACTTTTGATCAATATTTATTTAGTTTTTTTTCTCAAAAGGTTCAACAATTGTATTTATTCTTTCTCAATAACTATTCTTCAATGTATTTTTAGGTCACTGTCTTTTACCAAGTTTTTGCCATAGATTCCACAACTCTATTATGTTTCTCCAATATGTTTTTTTCCAAATTGTTTTCCAAACACTACACAACTGTACAGTTTCTCCCCAATGTGCATCTTCTCTCCTTGTGCATCTTTAGGTAGCTATTACGTACAAATCTTTTACCACATACATTGCAACTATATGGTTTCTCCCCAGTGTGCGTCTTTTCATGCATCTTTAGATACCTATTACTGACAAAACATTTTCCACATACAACACAACTATATGGTTTCTCCACAGAGTGTATTTTCTCATGACTCTTAAGGTAATTGTTACATACAAAATCTTTTCCACAAACAACACATTTGTATGGTTTCTCCACTGAGTGTGACTTCTCATGAGTCTTTAGGTGACTTTTAGTTATAAACTGTTTTCCACATATAAAACAACTGTATAGTTTTTCCCCAGTGTGTATCTTCACATGACTCTTCAAGTATCTATTACTGACAAAATGTTTTCCACATACATCACAACTGTATCGTTCCTCCTCTGAGTGTATCTTCTCATGCATCTTTAGGTAGCTATTACTGACAAAATGTTTTCCACATACAATACAACTGTATGGTTTCTCCCCAGTGTGTATCTTCTCATGACTCTTTAGGTACCTATTACTGACAAAATGTTTTCCACATACCACACATCTGTATGGTTTCTCTACAGAATGTGTCTTCTCATGAGTACTTAGGTGACTTTTAGTTATAAACTGTTTTCCACATATAACACAACTGTATGGTTTCTCTCCAGTGTGTATTTTCTTATGAACTGTTAAGTAACTTTTAAATAGGAATTTTTTTCCACATACAACACAACTGTGTTTTTTTTCCCCACCATGTATCTTCTCATGTTCTTTAAGATTACTATTTCGTTTAAATTCTTGGCCACATACTGAGCAACTGTATGGTTTTGACCCATTGTGTGTGCTGTGATGTATATTTAGCTCACTCTTTGTTTTAAAGTTTTTCCCACAAACAGTACAACTTTGAGGTTTCTCACCATTGTCTATTTTGTGGCATATTTTTAATTCATAATTTGTTACAATTCCTTTTTGGCAAATGTACAGTTTATCAGCATCTATATGAGGTGTGTTATATGGTTTTATATTAATTATTCTTGAATATTCTTTCACATCACTGTTGTTTTGCTTTTGAGATTTGTCCGGTTTTGTTTTTGTAGAAGGATTTTGTACTATAACGTAACCAGGAAACTGATTTCTGCAAAAGTTGTTCTCAATAATCTTTAAATCTATAATCAAAACGTATCACAACAAATATAATAAGTGAAAATTATTTTGTCTAATATCAGTTCATGGATAAAAAATATACTTATTTTGAACATCTATAAAATGCAAAGAGAGAACTAAGATTTTTGAGACCAGACATACATTTCTTTCCTTTAGGTTCTTGAAATGCTTTTTTCACTTTTAGTTATATCAAACGAAACAGTTGTGATAAGTATAATCACTTTACACATACATATTTTTAATTAATGCAAAATGCACAGATGAAAATACATTACATTTCTTCTGCTAGCTATTCTACAGACAAAAAATTTCTTGTGCTAGCTGCTCTAAAGAAACTATAGTTCTTGTGCTAGTTACTCTACAGACACTGAATTTCTTGTGCTTGTTTCTCGTCATCAACTATGTATCATATTGTTTTATAAAGTATTACAATACATCATATTTGATGACGAGAAACCCACTTTGAGACTAATAATGCTTGGAGACGGCGTGAATGGGTAATGAAGAAAAACTTTAATATAAGTTTAACATAACAGTAAATGTACAACGTTTCGACAAGGTTTTGTCATCATCAAGTACAAGTAATTTACACTGATACGGATAAATATATACAGTATTGAACAAAGAGGTCACATGACCGGAACTGTTGCAAATTTTAGAAGAGGTATCTTGGCACCCCAGGGTGTTGGTTTAGAGTAGGGTTGTTTTGTTCAATTAAGATGGATTCTTTGATTTTTCGTTTGTTTATGTTTGGTTTATTGTTTAAAATGACTGTGTTTTTAATAGACATACTATGATTTTTTGAGTTGCAACGGTGAAAAACATGGGACGTTTTTTTTTATTGAGTTCTTTGAATCTAGTTTCCAATTTTCTTCCTGTTTCTCCGATGTAGAATTCTGGGCAGTTATTGGATGTTATTTTCTAAATGATGTTGGTATTGTGTGATTCTAACTAACTATACACCTGCAAAAAAGTTAAGCACCCCCGTGTTTTTTCAAGTGATTCAGATTCGACGTTCTTGTGACTGATTATAAATTACCATTCAATCTAAACGTGTTTATCAAATGAAATTATGCATTATTGGGCACAAGAAAACAAGATTATCACC